AAGTGGCATTAGTCTAACGATGCTGACGAATGGCGAAATAGTTTCGTCAGGCAATTTCGAATTGACGAATGACGAATGGAATGTAAATAAGTATTTATGCTCTTGAATGTGAAATTGTTTTACCGGTTTAATTATAGAAATCAATAAATGTTTTTTATACTCACTCATTGATTGAAATGCTTAATGCGAATGTATGGTTTATACGTAATTATAAGTAAGTATTTATGTTCTAAATTTACAAACTTGTTTTTTTTAATTTTATCCATTAATAAATGTTCTTTATACTCACCAACTAAATTAGTATGAATAAGATGAAATAAAATAGTTAACATTCACGAAATTGAATAGCTTAATTTAAATATTTAGGCTTTATACTCACTTACTAAATTAAAGGGAATAAAAATAAAGTTAAATAGTATATTCATAAACTTGAATAGTTTATTTTAGATACTTGCTAATGAATGTTTTTTATACTCACTATCTAGAATAAAATTAAATAGAAATACTTATAAACTTGAATAGCTTATTTTAATAAATATTCTTTATACTCACATTCTAAATAAAATTTGATAGTAAATTCTCATGAATATGAATAGATTATTTTAAATACTTTATTATTATACTCACGGGCTAAATCAATTAATAAAATAATTATGAGTTATATTATTTGATGAAAATATCAAAAACCATTGCCAATAAAATGTCTTTTATATTTGAAATATACTTACTCTCTAAAGAATTAAATGATTTTAAGAATCTCTATTAATAAAAATACATATATCATCAAATAACTTACTCTTTAATCAAATCAAAGTACATGTCTTCATTCTTTCCTACACCAATTCCGTAATAGTAGCAAATGGCAGTTTTAAAAATTCCCATAGAATTACCCGCCTTGGCTGATTTTTGATAATTTTTAAATGCTTCATACTTTGATTCAAGCTTGTCTGCATTAACTCCAATTCCTAAATAATAGCAATAACCAACTTGGTACATTCCGCTAGAATTATTCTTCTCTGCTGATCCTTGATAATTATGGAATGCCCTATTCTTATCCTCTTCAACTTCAATCCCGTATTCGTAACAATAACCTTGCCAGTATATATCAGCTGGTGTCATGGAGTCTGAAATATACAATCCACCAGACTGCATGCTTAAAGCATTTGAAATCATCTGAGTTTCAATGACTTTAGACGTATATATTTTGTGTTCACGATTTATTGAATCTAATATTTCCGTCTTATTATCATTCATAAATGCTTTCATAATTTTTTGTTCTTCTTCGTTTAAACATTTAGGATCGAAATCGGATAAATCGAAAATATGATACCACCTAAACAATTTTTGGCAAACCTCTCCAGCACTTGGTCGTTTTGTTGGATCTTCATCCATACAATGTTTTGCTAATTTAATATATAAATCAGGTGTTCCCTTACCAAATTCCGGGCGTAAGCCTTTACATATCTTCGCTGCCAATTCATTATCATTATCGTAATTTTTTTCTTCATAATAAGGTGGAATTCTAGTAGACACTTCAGTTAATATAATACCAAAGCTATAAACGTCTGCGGCTGTTGTATATTCTTTGCCTAATAAAATTTCAGGAGCAACATAGGGAAGAACTCCAAAAATTTTTTCTTGTGATGTTTTATATTCAATTTTATTAGACATTCCGAAATCAGAGATAGATAGTTTTATATCAGTAGTTCCATTGGTATTTGCTAAAAGTATATTGCCGCTATGTAAATTTTTATGCACATATCCCATATTATGGATTCTACTTAAATTGTACGCCGCAGAAAAAAGAAGTTTTAACTTTTTCGCCCAAGTAAGTTCCTTATTTTTTTCTAGATATTGCCAAAGATTTCCTCCATCTGCGTATTGGCATACCATAAAATATTCTTTTTCTGGGGAACAGGTTATCCCAAATATTTCAAAAAAGTCTTTTTGATTTCCAAATTTTACGAAAGTTTTAAACTAAATAATGATAACAATAATGAGGCATAATAAAATAAAAAAGATGGTGAACGGATAATAATATATTCAACATTACCTCTTTAGTTATATCTTATTAATCTCTTTAATACTGGGTTTAAGAGCAACCTTGCATTCTTCACGTTTTAATACCAATTTATCATTTTCTTTCGAACGTATTCGCTTTCCATCTAACCAAATTGCAGAACAAACAGTACCTTTGCCAATTTTTTGAATATATTTTAATTTATCGAAAGGAATCCATTCAATCACTTTGTCATAATGTTTTGCCTTTAGTTGCAATTCTTTTATAAAACAATTGAGCTCTTTATTATTTAAACATGAGCACCTTTTATCTATACGCCACTTTTCATATATATGTTCAATTTCGTCTATCTTTTGATAATAAATATTGGTTAATATTTCAAGAATTTCGTTCATTTCTGGACGTTTAGCAGATTCCTCATCCCAACATTGCTTGTAAAGATCAATATATTGATTTGGTGTGCCTTCCTCCATAGGATCCTCTCTATTTCCTTTGAGGATGTGATTGACAAGTGATTCTCTTTTTGAGAAGGATTTGAATGGTGGTTTACCGCTTGAAATTTCCCAGAGAACAACACCCAAACTATAGATGTCGGATTTTTGGGTAAGTTTATATTGAACGTAGACATCAGGTTCATGAGTAGCATTATTTTCAGATTTTAATTTTAAGCATTGAGGTTCGATATATGCTATTGAATCTAAATCTAATAAACACTCATCAATTAATGATGTAGCTTCCGTAGTTTTGGATAAGCCAAAACCCGCAATTTTGATTACTCCTTCGTGAACAAATATATACTTGGAATTCTAAAATATAAGTAGAGTTATTAAAACTTATATAAATATAAATAAACGTAGAGGTGCATACAATATCTTGGTGAACGATATTATTTTCATGTAAAAACTTTAGACCGTTAGATATTTCGATTGCAATACGTAATTTATCTATCAATCCTAATCTTAAAAATCTTTCATTCAAATATTCGCGTAAACTACCATTATTAGCAAATAGTCGAACTATATTATAACACATTTCGGATTCTATTTATTGTGTGTAAATATTATTAGTATTAAATAGTATTAATGTATCTTTTATTGGTAATGCAGAAAAGTTTAAATACATTCCTTTAGTAGTTCCTTTTGTGAACCCATAAAAATTAATAATATTTTCATGAAACCCAATTTTTTGTAATTGTCGAATCTATACAGTTATCGATATAATAAGTGTTAAATAAATTGATAATTATATATTTTACGTTTGGCATTGTAGACGTAAAATATTAATACTTCAGTAATAAACTCTTGAAAAGCTTTATTGTTCTTGATAATAATTTTGGTCGTATCATCCTCGATAATATCAATTTTGGTGTTATCATTCTGGATAATATCAATTTTTACGCTTTTATGAACAACTACAAAATTTCTTTTTTTCCATTTGGATTTATACACTGTCATCCCAAATCTACTTTCTCTAATTTTCCTAAAGTCAGAAAATTCATCATAATCATAACGACTAATTTTTAGGTCGGAAAATTCTTTTTCAATCTGTTCTAAATCTATTTCCATAGTAGCGGTAGTATTATTTTTTTTTTTAAAAAAAAACTGTACAGTACGTGCATATCAGTTACAGTATTATTAAATACATCCGTACAACGTATGACATATCAATTTTGTTAACTCGTACAAGATTAGAGATGGGAAAAATGCGCATTTTATAATAACATGCGCATGAATGCGCATTAATGCGCACGTTATATAAAATGC